AGTAAAGCCATTAATTCTTGAAATCAAAATGAAACAAACAAAAAAAAAATCTAATAACATGAAAAAGAATAAAACATTAAAACTAACAAAATTAGAGTTTAACTATGCAATTGCAAAAAAAAAAAAAGACAAGACACTACAAAAGTGGGCAGCTTCTGAGTGATTAAATCACAGAACTGGTAAACAAAGAAAGCAAACAAGTGAATCCAAACAGCATCCCACATCTCAAAATCCAATAAATGCATCAAATGTCTTCACTTAAAGCAATTTGTTCTTTTTCTATTAAACACACCCGCAACATCACCTCTGTCTGTTCTACTCTGATCTCAGGTGCGTAGCGGTCAGAGTGTTTCAAGTCTTCCGTCTGCATTACAAGCTAGATGAATGAGGCAGACATAACCTCTGCCCCGACGCAGTCTGCAGCTGGTGACCAATAAAGTCATTATCTGAACTGGATTGTGATGTCTCCTTTATTCTTCCCCTTCATGAAATTTGCATGAATATATTTCACACTTCTGTCTGGATGAGCTGCTAAAATATACATGCAGTCAGTGTGACTGTCTGAATTATTCTTAACTTTCCATTTACCTGACTGGGATAAAGTGTTTCATCAATGAGCTCAATTGCTGTTTGGACAATTCTTTAATTGTAAGGGGATACAGAATCCATCTTAACATCAACTATTTGTTATAATGTGTGATGACTTTGTGATATGAAGCACTGCAGAAGGCCATATATAATTTTGTGGTTTTACGTCCATTTAAAATGTTAGACAGTTTCTTGCACCAAACAGCCGCAATTTAGAAATACACGACCACATTAGCAAATTGTCTGAAATATTATGGTCAGAGAAGGTCCGTCGTCTGTTTTCAATAGTGTAGTAATGTATAAACCACAGTTCTGTCATTACAACTCTTGGAAAGTTTAGCATGGTAATATACATGACAATGATAATGTGTTTGGTCTTGGCGGAATAGATCTGCTATGCTGCTGCTGCGGCAGAGCAAGTACCGAGACTTGCTACTGCCAAAACATCCACAACATGCTGCTGTGAGCATTCAAGAAATACTGCAGCAGATCTATACAGGTGGAGCTGGGGGAGGTGGAGGGTTTCTGAAGTGCGCTGCAACTGCTACAGCAAACACTAGCTGAGTATATTTGAATGTTGAGCTGCAAGCTCATTGGCTGTTGATGGAAAAAGGAACGAATCAGCTGCGCCATGTGAGTAATGATGTCATTATATCAGAATGAGTTAGATATCGGCCTGCACCATCTAGAGTTTCATGACAGAGCTTTGTGTTTCACACATAAATCACTTTCAAACCAAGTAACTTTCAGTTGACCAACGAGTGACCAACTTGAAACAAACCTGAAGAGAAATTGCATAGATTGTTATTAAAATCACTTACTCTAAATCGATTCTGACTGCAAAAATTCATCAAAATGTGACCGCATCTTCAGAATTCCCCTAACGAAAATTAAGCATGGTTTTATTATAGTAAAAGTGTAGTATACATGTTTTTTGTTTTAGTTTTTTTGCCATACTGACTACCATTTGTATAACCACAGTTTTACTACAAATAATACCATGGTTAAACTATGGTTAGTGTAAAAAACATGGTTTATCTGTGGTTACCAACACATAACTATAGTAACCTATTTTGGTTTTATTTGTAGTAAAACCATGGTTAATTTTCATAAGGGTGAAAGAAGCTAGCAAACAGAAGTCACGCTTACCAGAGGATGTTAGCATTTCAACATATAGCGACATTAGAAAATATTAGCAATAGCATTTAGTGACACTTCACAAATATAGTAAAAAACGATTAGCATTTTGTTTATGCTAACTAGCAGGAGCAAAAGATAATTGGGTTGCACTAAATGGACTTCATCTCACTACATTCTGACAGAATTTCTTTAAAAAGTCAATGAGTAATCTACATGATACATCTACTTTACTTTCTCTCACTAAGCTAATTGCTAGCCTTGAGCTACATTAAATCCAGGGCAGAAACAAACCCAGTGACTTCCCCAATCGCATCCTGTTTTGAGACCTACAGACACATATCACTTTCAAATGTCCAGTCTCTGCAGATCAATGAGAGGAAGGAGCAGAGGAAAGAGAAAAGACGCTACGACGGAATTTCGGGGTAAGTAATCCAATCATATATTTTCTATGTTGTCAGGGACGCTCTAAAATAAAAAATAAAAAAACACAGCAAAAGGAATCAAGCATCTACTGCCTCAGCTTAAATTGATCTGTGAACACTTGTGACCGTACAAAGTAATCCACAATCCAAAATCCACAATCGATATGATTTAAATGACTGATGCACAAGGTGAAGAACAATGCAGTAGCCAGTCAACAAGCTCAATACGGATAAACTGCTGAAGCCAGACATCTCACTTCTTCTGAAGTCCAAGCCGAGCTCCAACGCTGATGATTACACTACAATAAATATAAGTTTAAACACAATATTTCTCTCTCCAACCATTTCTATGGTTCTATTTTCATAATCTCTGCTGCAGATGAAGTAATGCTGTGTCTGATCTCTTTTGCAGTTGAAAAGGTGAATACTTTCTTCAGATAAACACGACACCCATTATTTGATCCAATAACAAGCCAGCTATATTTAGTATCTGTAACAGACACTCAATTATTAATGAGACATGAAACATAAGATATCCCAGTGGCGGTATTTTTGAGACTCAAAAGTAGAAAATCTTTGCACAGCATAAACATCAGATAGCAGCAAATTAATCAGTTCAGGACAATCCGGAAAAATATTTCATCCAGTGATTCAACACTACTGAAGATGCTTCTGAAAAGTCTGACAAATTTCTATTCATTTATAATCATTAGCAGGTTCCTGTTTAGTGCTCAAGAGACCCAAGTGATTATTGATTAGCCCTCAAAACAGATTCAATTACAGGCTACTATATCCACAGCACTGCCAAAAAGTGTGTGCAAGTGAATTCCTTTTGAAAGTGCATTTGAATCACTCCAAGAGATTACAGAAATGACCATTCCTTATTTCATGTTTATAGCAGTGGGTCATGGACAACAGGGCATAAACAATGATAAATGCAAATTATAAAATGTAACTACCCATATAATCATGCATAGTTAAAGTAAGCAAAGTAAATATGCTTTTGAACCATTAAAAAAAGTGAAGACGTTTCTAGGGATGCACCGATATTAAAATTCTGGTCAATAGCTGATTATTATTTTCAGTAGCCAATAAATGGCAGATATTAAAATGCTATACTATTTTGTCTAAATACATAAAAAATAAAACACTGAAAAAGCTACAAGTGAATTTAGGCATCATACCATCATGCACAGTATAAATAATATATTTTGGCATTTGCTAATGATTAGATTAGAATTATTAGTGTTTTTAAAGATTAAACGAGTGTGAGATGACTCCAAAGGTATTAATGTAAATTAAATATTCAATATCAGCCAATTCCAAAAATAAAATCTGTACTGATTAAAAGTCAACTAATAGTGTATTTGGCCAATATCAATAACTAAAGCAGGAAAACAACCTAATAACTAATTAACCAGCTGATATAATGATTAGATTAGAATTATTAGTGTTTTTAAAGATTAACTTTAAATGAGTGTGAGATGACTGCAAAGGTATTAATGTCAATTAAATATTCAATATCAGCCAATTCCAAAAATAAAATCTGTACTGATTAAAAGTCAACTAATAGTGTATTTGGCCAATATCAATAACTAAAGCAGGAAAACAACCTAATAACTAATTAACCAGCTGATAGTTTATAAAAACAATAATATAAATGAAATAATAATATATACAGCATGTGACAGTTTGCAATATATGGAATGTTTTCACCTGATTAATCAGTAAAACCAATATATCAGTCATCCTTTAAAAAATTGGTATTACTTTTCTCTCAGAAATTGCTAGTAAATTTCACCAAAAAAAAAATGTCAGGAACGACAAATTAATTGAATATAACATGAAATATAACATTGAATTAAACATGACATTTTTAGATTGAAATGTTTATTTACTACTTACTAAAAAATTCTTTACAGTGCACCTATATATTGTGCATCCCTAAATATTTCACATGTCTTTTATTGTTGATGTCAAAGGTTGCGCATCCAATCAAATGGTATTTTGGTGCAATTTTTTTAAACTACACCAATTAAGCAGAGGCCAACATGGACAGGTTGAATGACAGGCCCTCATCGGGGAAAACATGACCAAAACTACACACAGTTAAACAAGAAAACAACACAGGCTAGATTAAATACACTTTATGTCTAGTTCTGTGGGTCCTGAAGCAAAACTACCAATCTAAAATGTAGCAAAGATGGAAATTACCTTAAACAGGTGTGGGTTGCGCATCCAATCAAACTTGACTTTATTTTGGTGCTAATTCATCTCTCACTTGTTTAAGACTACATCTTTAAGCCAAATCAAGCAGAGGCCAACACAACAGTTTGCATGACATGGCCAAAAGCTATGCAAAGTTACAACAGTGGCTCCATGACACTTCAAATTTTGAATGTCTCCTTTGTCTAACACCCATTTCAGGTCTTGGAGTCTCTACTAATAGGCTGATCACATGAATCAGGTGTGTTTGATTAAAGAGACATGCAAAATGTGCAGTGTTGGGGCGGGGGATCCAGGAACGTGCTTGGGAACTTCTGGCCTAGACTACATTAAATATGGATTACATCTGGTTCTTGGGTCCTGAAGCGAAGCCACTGACCTATAGTGTAGCTAAGACAGAAAAGACCTTAAACAGGCATAGATTGTGCATCCAATCAAACTTCAAGGCTACGCTACATGATGCCAGATGCCAACATGGCAGGTTGCATGACATGCCCTCAACCTTAAAAGCCATGACCAAAGATTTGCAAAGTTCACATTACTACATTAATTATGGATTACATTTGGTTCTGTTGATCCTGCAGCAAAGCCCCCAACTAATAGTGTAACATAGCCAGGAATTACCTTAAACAGGCGTAGGATGTTGGCCACCATGATGGAGACGGAGCTTGCAGCTGCGCCTATCACACCAATAATCTTGTCCGGCTTGGCAAAGATTGGCTGCTCACCACTAGTGCATCGCACATCAGTAGAATCGCGCTCGATGAGCGCCTGCACGAAAGTAAGCGACTGTTCCAGGGCGTAGGTGTCGCGCGAGCAGGTGTCCAAAATACGCGCCCCCAGGGTCACGTTGGGCAGCAGGTCGGGGTCTTTGTTGATGAGGTCGATGGCGAAGAGCATGGCCTCTAACCGATGAATACCCTTCTCCTTCTTCAGTTCCCCACAAGGGGCGCCACGTTCGCCCCTAGCATGCACCGGGAAGAGACCTCCCAGGATGATATCACCGTCCAGTCGTATAGAGTGGGCATATTCGGGAGCAGGGGGCGTCAGTGGATCTGTACGCTGGCTGACGGATCCGGCCACCCCCGTCAGCAGAAGAAGACAGCCATACCATTCAAAGGCACTCACCATTGCGGCATAAGGTGGATCCAGACGCACAAGCAGCAGTGGGGACGCAGTTACAAAGGTGGGAAGCCAGCAGGGACGGAGCACAATAACCGAACGGGGTCATCAGTGCCCCTCACTGGAGCGTACCGGATAACGGAATCCAACGACAAGGAGACCATTGGATTCGCTTGGAAGTTTTTGGTGGCAAACGAGGAAGGACGCCACAAGAATAAGATGATGGAATATGAGGCAATCACATAGTTGCTAGCTCCTCAATTACAGAGGTCACAGACCATTAGAACCCTGTGTGAAAGGGAACAGCAGAGGAATATGCCTTCATCAGCAAAGATTGGGCACATTATTTATCAGAACACACATATGCACTGCACAGCAGGGAGGCTCTAAGTGTGAAAAATGGAAAGTGATCAGTGCATTTGTGTATTCGCTAAACACATCTGATCTGACAGTCGACTTTTAAAACATGCATGTGTTTATGCATAAATATGCATGCATAATTAGCCCGTCTAACACTTTGGTTTGGAATATCTTTATACAACAAGTGAGCCATTGTGCTTTGCAAATGCTGCCTGGAATCGATCCCAGTAAAGAGAAATGAAGAGTCAAAACCAATGCAGAATAAGTTTAGAATTTCTCCGCTGATTCCTTAAAGTCAAATAAAAATCTTTAAAGGACAGTTCATTTACTGACCCTGATGTCATTCCAAATGCATTTATTTCTTGCATAGACTACAAATGGAGATGGCTGGAGACTGTCAGTCTCAGACTCAGACGTCACATTCAATGCATCTTTTTTCTATACCGTGAATGTGACTGAAAGGGCCTCTTTCTGTGTTCCACAGAAGAAAAAAATAAGTCATACAGGTTTGAAATAACATTTAGGTGAGTAAATGATGACAGAATTTAAATTTTCTGCAAACTGGCCCTTTAAGTAGCGCACCTTTACAGTGTACAGTATGGGCAATACATTCAACTCCATCAAATATCATTTTAATTATTGCTGTTATAATTAATAAATACGAACGCATAGAGCAAACGGTCAGCACTCTTGCATAAAAACTCATTAAATGCCATCATAGTAGAAATTGTGGTCAGGAATGAAGAAATAGCTTTGCACATACTGTTGTTGGCAAATAAATAACTAAACAAATAAAATAAAACTTTTAAACATTTCACTGGCAGAAAAACATCTTCCCATGTCTAATAACTGTTATTGATTAAATGCATTCAGCATCAGCATCACCACGAAACATTTCAGCAGACCTAAGTTGCACCCATATAGCATTGCAACAATTTAACAAATAGAAAACACCATATTATACTAGACTAGCGCAACTCACTCCATTGCTTTTGCGAATATAAAGAGATAACATTTTGCATGCATTCATACCTGCAGGTGCCTGAGCTGTGCTCGTGCGCTGATCGCTGCTGCTGCTTTGATGCTGCTGGGAGGGACAGCGCGCGCGAGGCGAGTGCATCATTTCTCGCGCGAATACTCCCACTCCGTTATGATTGGTCTGACAATTTGGACGCTTTCTTCGCCCCGAGCCGCATCAAGACAAACTGGAATCAATCAACTGCGAACGACGCATCGGAAGTATAAAAAAAAGCTCCTTAAAGACTATGACATTGAAGTAACGATCATTTGTTCTTTATAATGAGTCGAAAAGGTGCGTGTAAAGCTATATGATAGTGTCGTTGGAAGAAATATTTGTTACTTTTCAGACTGATAAAAGCAAAACTACGTAGAAATAGCCTATCTGTTCATTGTGGCTTGACAGCTGGTTTGAAGAAATCAAACTGTTGGACAGTCACTGCTGTGATTTATCCCATTGCGCCATCTAGTGTGAACACTGTGGACTTGCACAGAGCATTCCTGTTTTTATACAGTCCGATTCCTGCATACAGTCTGCAGTGCTAAAATAAAACTATTGAAAATCAATAAAAGTAAGTGATGGATTAATAAAATAAATATATAAGAATAAATAATCAAATAAAATATAAGACAAAAACAAAATATGAGCCAAAATAAAACAAATATTACATGAAAAACTTGATGTTCTAAAATTATGTCGTACTAAAATGTAAGTACTAAAACTATAACTGAAATAAAAATAAATTCAAGCAAAACAGAAATATAGCAAAATAATAAAAACGACAAACACATAACTCTATTGCTAAACAAACTAAAATTAAATAACTATACAAATATAAGCTAATTCAAAAAATGCACTAATGCTATAACAGTATATAGATAATACTAAACTAATTATAATACAACAAATAGTATGCATGGTCACAATCCAAAATAGCCATTCGTAACAAAATAATACAATTATTTAAAATCACTCTATGTTCACTTAAATGTGGGGGGGAAAGGGAATTTAATGTGATTTCAGTCTTTGAGAAATTGTTTGATATTTTGTTTTCAATAGACTGGTTAATGCAAGGTTAAGCCTACAGGCAACATTTTACAGTGACATGTCTAAAAGATTATAATATAATAAAAATACCCCTGAAAATATTCATTGGCGTGAAAAGTGTGACCTCGGCCATGAAAATGCACTGCATAGTAAAAATGACTCGCATCTAAACAGAAAGTGGGTTTTGACAGCAATAAAGGGCAATAATTCCTCTCCAGTGGTGTATAGCCTGTAGGCCTGTGCAAAGTTCAGTTTAAATAGGCTATATGTATTTTATTTAGATACATTTGTTTTGTTTTAGTCTCAGGGAGTATTTACACTTAGCCATATTGTGCATCTTCAAAACGAATATAATTCTGATTTCCACACCCATTTGCCAATAAAACTATATAAAGAGTTCGCTTCGATTATATGACTATACTGGCTGTAGAAATATTCTGTTGAACGCTCTTATTCATCTCGTGTCAATTGAGTATTTGATTTTCACGGTCTCATCCAAGTTTCTTCTTTTATGAGTCTCACACGACCCGAGGCGATTTCTCCTGCAACACTTACTTTTAATGGGTATTTGAGGGTAAGGTGACCAACTGTCAAATTTGCAAGTCGCTTAAAGTTTTATATCATTTCCAGCCCAATATAATTTCTGTATGTCAGGCTCACTAGTTAATGATTTGTAATGAAACTTGTGAACATTTTAAGGGAATGTTAATGGATTTCTATATGTGTGGACAGACAGACAGACAGACAGATAGATAGATAGTATACAAGTTAACAAAGGATGTGTTTATTATCTTTATTTGAACAAAAAATCCTACTGCAAGCAAGGTTATACCAGGATTTTGCAAATAAAAAGGAGTGCACACCATCAGAATGGATCTAGGTTTTGGCGTTTAGATAAAGCCCTATTGTACACATAAACAAAGGGTTTAATCAAGGCATTCTGCATGCACCCCAACTAAAAGAAACTGTACTTGCAATTTACTTGCTCAAAAGCTTCGTTATAACTATTTATACTTGAAAGCAACGATGAGAGCCATCTACTAAAACTCGAAAATTATTTTCTCATTAGCTTTAGTTATTAGTAGGCTACCAAACTAAAATACAGTAGTATTCCATTTCGTTTTAGTCACAGTTGGAACCTTTCATTAAAGACAAACACAAAGTTTAAGCTGTTAAAAAAAAAAAAAAAAAAAAAACTTCTCAGGTAACCTAATAGAGGTGATCACATGGCAGGAAAATATGAAGCAGAGTTACATTAATTTATCTACTTATGAATATTTAACATTAGTTAGACATGCTGTACATATACAGAGCTACCTCCTATGTCTTGTCCATTGTCCATTTATGAAACATTCTTTGTGTATTTTTAAACTGTCAGAGAGAATACAAAAAATAGTGGTATAATCCGTTTACAAATTAATCAAAATTCATTTTGAGAGTTGTTTTACTTTGTCAATCAGTCAAAATCAATTGAAGATCAATCTCCTTTTGGAGGGCGGATACCAATTCTTTTACATCAGCGCCCTCCAGCGTAAAAAGCTGGAATAACATGTTTGGTGCACTTCGTTTTTTTTTTTGTTTTTTTTTGACCCTTTATGCAAAGGTTATCCTGTTTTCTACCCACAAGTCTGTCCATATCCCTTCCTCATGGAGATAAACCCATCCATGGAATCCAGTGCAAATGTGCTACGTATTCAGAGAAAAATCAGTCTAGATGGAGAGAAAGAAAGAAAAAGTGAGAGAGAATCAAACATCTTTCATCATTAAATATATAATAACATACTGTAGTCAATAACAGGAATGATTTAAAGGAAAAAGTGTGTGTACTTTCTATAAGTTTGAAGATGCTAACAGGATAGTTCACCAATGAATTAATGTTCTGACATCATGCTGTGTCATTTAATTTACTTCAGCATTCTTCAAAAAATTCCTTTATTAAGATTACAGGTTTGGAATAACAAGAGTGAGCAAATACAGCAATTTCTTACTTGTAGGTGAACTGTCACTTTAAGGAAATGGGCATTTAGAAAAATCTCAATCATCATTATTCTGTGGGCAAAACCACTGGAGGCTGCCAGAAGTTTAAAAGGTCAGGCCAAAATGTGTAAAAGTTCACCGCATCTACATATCTATTACAGAAAGCAGACGATGGGGAATCCCTCTCAGATACTATCTGTACCCATGAATTTAAAGTAGAGCGTAATTCCTATTACAGTGACCTTAGAGACTTTGTCTGAGCATGTGACGAGAAAAATAAGCACTGCGGCAACACTGGCTTGGATAACAAAAGAATAACTGAAACCAAATGTGCCCAATTTGGATCCCTAGAAACCACTTAAAAGTTTAAGAAATGAAACACAACTCAATCTCTACGTTTTCTGAAGAAAATGTCAGTACTGCTTGCCCATGCAAAAAATGCCGCAACAATGCTAGGGTGATTTTGGGCGGTTACTTACTGGCCCAACTTAGTCTTAAAGGGATAGTTCACCCAAAAATGAAAAGTATGTCATTAATTACTCACCCTCATGTCGTCCAAACCTTCGTTCATCTTCGGAAACACAAATTAAGATATTTTTGATGCATTCCGAGAGCTCTCTGACCCTCCCATAGACAGCAAGGATCCTAACACGATCAAGGCTCAGAAACGTAGCAAAGAGATCGTTAAAATAATCCATGTGACATCAGTGGTTCAACTGTAATTTAAGAAGCTACGAGAATACTTTTTGTGCACAAAGGAAAAAAAAAAAGACTTTATTCAACGATTCGTCTCCTCCGCATCACCCTATAGCGCCATTTTGAAGATTATCACATACGTAAACAACGCATGTACGCGGATACGCTGTTTACATTCAGAGCAAAGCATAACCATCGTAAACAGCGTATCCGCATACGCTGCTGCTGACACCGAACAGCATACTTTTACGTATGTGATACTCTCCAAAATGGCGCTACAGTGTGACGCGGAGGAGACAAATTGTTGAATACTTGTAGCTTCGTAAAATTACGGTTGAACCCCTGATGTCACATGGACCATTTTAACGATCTCCTTGCTACGTTTCTGAGCCTTGATTGTGTAAGTATCATTGCTGTCTATGGGAGGGTCAGAGAGCTCTCAGAATGCATCAAAAATATCTTAATTTGTATTCCGATGATGAACAAAAGGTCAGGAACGACATGAGGGTGAGTAATTATTGACATCATTTTTTTTGGGTGAACCAACCCTTTAATACTTTGGTTTAAAGCAGACTTCCTCAAATGCGGTCTTGGAGGGGACACCAGCACTGAGTTTAGCTCCAACCCTAATCAATGACACCTGAGCAAGCTAATAAAGTCTTCAGAGTTACTAGAGTAAACTCTGCATGGCAATGGATCTGAAAAGGTTTTAAAGCAAACCTCCAATGATAAATATGAGGAACAGTAATAGTGATACTCGCCTTTAATAAAGCACCTTTAATAAAGACAAACACTATGCAGTCTTGGAAACAAAATCTTGTGAAATGGCCGAATGTTTGATTCTGTAGTAGAGCATCTCATCCATTATAGTCTGTAGGAATGCTGCAAGCATATTAAGGCATGGAAGCTCACATCAGTTTGAAATCTTGCATCCAATTATAAGGGATTGTACCTTCATAGATATAGTCTAAGAAAGTCTTTCATCTTATTCAACAGTCCAAAATCACTATTTTTGGAACACTAAGTAGTGCTTTCTTAGGAGTACTTAAGATGGCTGGATAAAATATTTACAAAGTATTATACAGTGTTATTTACAGGCTGTGGTGCTCTGGAACTTGCTACCAACAGCATTTTGAACGAGATTCTTACATTTTCGGGAGATATTGTGAGTGGTGCTTCCCAGTACAAAACTCGCTGCAATTACACCAAGGCACAGATGTCCAATTCTGCTCCTGGAGGGCCACTATCCTGTAGAGTTTAGCTCCAATCCTAATTAAACTGAACCAGAACAAGCTGATCAAGGAGTTCAGGATTACTAGAAACTTCTAAGCAAGTGTGTTGGGGCAGGCTGGAGCTAAACTCTGCAGGACACTGGCCCTCCAGGAGTGGGATTGGACACCCCTAAGCTAAGGTGTCCCCTGGGTGGTTACCAGGTTGTTGTTTTGTAGTTGCTAGGGTGTTCTGGGTGCGTATTGAGGATTTGCTAGGTGGTTACCTACTGGTCCAAGTCAAAAGACTCCAACCCCAAAGTCTCTATGATATTCTGGTCCCTAGATACAAGATTAATACTAGATTAAGCCTTTTAAACACTGCACGATTTTAGCAATCTTATAAGATCATTGCAGATCACACTGTGTGACATGCTTCTAATAAATTTGGGTACAACATGCGTGTAGACTGTACGATGATGACACCTATTTACTCGTACGCTACAACCAGTGTTGCCAAGTCCGCGGTATTCCCGTGGAATTGGGCTATTTTAACAGTTGCCGGGGGTTGTTTTTCATGTCTGCGGGTTGAAGCAACCCCAATAACATGATTTTTAGCCACTGGAGTGCAAAATTTACAAGGGGAACCCCACCAAAAAAAAGTGTATTTTACCCCCCGGAACATGATTTTTACCGGGGGACCCCACCCGAAATGTGATTGGGCTAGTTTTTGAGTAGCAATTGGGCGGGTTTTGCTGTGAAAACCTGGCAACCCTGGCTATGACGCACGTTACTATAGAAGAATAAAACGTCATCAGCATGTGCTAGTGGTAAAAAGAAGTGCATGATGAATCACACTTTGGCAGTGTGAGTTTTCATGTTTGCTGAAAAAAGTGAAAGCTGCGAAAGAGGAAGGAATAAGAGCTTGAGGTAAGCAGTTTTATGTTTTAACGCCATGCCGCGTTGATTTGATGTCGCATTTTTATTGGCTGGTCAGTAAACATGGGTCGTATCAGCAAACACACTGGGCGATTATCATGCTGAATTTCTGACACTGTCAGAAAATGATCATAGGCTATCTTTGGTCACAAGACCGTGACAACGGCCGTCTTTGAACCTCTCTCACTGTACTACACAGGATCACAGATTAGGAGCCACAATCACAGAAATCACTACGATTGTTTCACGATGCTAATCTTTTGTCTGGGACAGCCAAAAATTGTGCAGTGTGTCTCCGGTTTAAAGTGTCATGAAACCTGTTTCAGCACTGGTCTTTCACACCTTAGATCTGAAAAAGACTCCAGAAATGGGTGTGTAAAACTGTGAAAAAGTGGGAGTGTATAGGGTGGGAAGAGGGGAGAAAAAAAAACAATAAAACAAACCTACAACACACTCATTAAACAGACAAATGAATATTAAAATATCTTTAAAACTGAAAGAATAAAGGCAGTTACTTTCAGTTACTCTTCTTTGAATTTTCCATCTGTATCATTTGCCGTGTATCACAGTAATCCATTGTGTCTTCGCGTTCATGATCAGACGTACCGCTGTATCAGTTTTCTTCATGTTTGGAGCACGAGAGAACATGAAACATGTTCACATAAACTTAAAGCACGCTGGATATGAACTATGATCCGCGCAGCGAGTGTTGTTAAACTCATCACGGCATTCAGCTCAGAACTGCTCTCTCATGACCGCTCCACGTGTTGTTATATATTAAATATTGTTACGGTCATGTTTACAGAAATTAACTGACAGCCCTAAGCTCTTTCGTGAGATTTGAATTCTCCGCTGTAAGACGACCTCATGCATAATACAGCGCAGTGATTGGATCATAATGGTTCATTCTCATGAATAATACTGAGAAAAGCTCGGAAAACTGATGACGTAGACATGTACTCTCCAGCCACGGCAGCCAATCACCACTCCAAATTAACGCATATACGTCACTCTTTGTGATGTTGGTTCAACTTTGCTTTTTGAAAAAATAACCACCTTTTCCTTAATAATAGACATAATGAGTGCTATTGTTGTTTTCACTGATGTGCAACCTGTTCATATATGTTAACATCTCAAAAAATGTGTTATAGGGTTTCATGACACTTTAAGTCTAAATGAATTTTTCCTGCCTTTTTTTTATAAGTCTAATTACTTGAAAAAATAATAACATATTTCACCTCAAAACAACACAATGTGGGGTACCATTTATGTCCTTAAAGGGGTCATATGATGTTGCTAAAAAGAACATTATTTTGTGTATTTGGTGTAATGAAATGTGTTTATGCGGTTTAAGGTTAAAAAAAAAAACATTATTTTCCACATACTGTACATTATTGTTTCTCCTCTATGCCCCGCCTTTCTGAAACACGTCGATTTTTACAAAGCTCATCGTTCTGAAAAAGCGAGGTGTGCTATATGAGGAACAGTAATAGTGATACTCGCCTTTAATAAAGCACCTTTAATAAAGACAAACACTATGCAGTCTTGGAAACAAAATCTTGTGAAATGGCCGAATGTTTGATTCTGTAGTAGAGCATCTCATCCATTATAGTCTGTAGGAATGCTGCAAGCATATTAAGGCATGGAAGCTCACATCAGTTTGAAATCTTGCATCCAATTATAAGGGATTGTACCTTCATAGATATAGTCTAAGAAAGTCTTTCATCTTATTCAACAGTCCAAAATCACTATTTTTGGAACACTAAGTAGTGCTTTCTTAGGAGTACTTAAGATGGCTGGATAAAATATTTACAAAGTATTATACAGTGTTATTTACAGGCTGTGGTGCTCTGGAACTTGCTACCAACAGCATTTTGAACGAGATTCTTA